CCTCCCGAGTGCCATACAATCTCCATGTTTGCAGCAGGATTCCAGAGCCATTGGCCGATCGAAGTGTGTAACAAGCGGGAGCAGTGTCGATGTTGTTGTTGTACCGCCCCAGAAGGAGTAACCACTACCTACCCCGCACCTCTAGAAGATGACCCACCATCACTATGCACGACACCTGGATGAATGTTGTTGGTCGTCTCTCTTCCCGTGCCGACCCAAATTGGGATGTTGCCGCTTCTCCACTCTTGTCATTGGAGAAGACTGCGGGGTGACATAGTCACTAGTCTCTTTCTGGGTCGGCAAACGTCGAAAGACCCGATTACTGGACACTATCAACTTGTTTCTCTACGAAGACCTCTGATTTGATGCTCTACTGTTAACGATGCATAGTACCAATTCACCTTGAATCATGCAGACTCAAGGAAGATGTCGTATAAAGATGGGTGTAGGGCCATTCTGGTTGTCGCCAGTTCCATATCCAAGCACCATTGTATTCTAATTCTAGGTATTCAAGCCTCTTCCCTAAAGCCATGACTTCTCCACAGATCAAGCGCTATGTCATTGTGGGCATGGGCGTTAGATCCGCGTTCTACTACCAGAGCATCATCCAAGACTTCAAATCGAGCGCTACAGTCGTTGGTATATGCGATACCAATGAGACGCGCATGAAGGCTGCAAATGATCGCATTGCCGAGATTGGCGGCGAACGCGTCCCGATGTACAAGGCAGAAGACTTCGACAAGATGGTCAAAGAGCAAAACGCCGACGTCGTAATCGTCACCACTATCGACAAGTTTCACCACGTATATTGCATCCGCGCTATGGAGTTGGGTTGCGACGCGATTACCGAGAAACCGATGACTATCGACGAAGAGAAATTGCAAGCGATGATCGATGCGGAGAAGAGGACAGGCAAGCAAGTTCGTGTTCTCTTCAACTATCGATATGCACCTCATCATACAAAGCTACGCGAGCTTGTTGATTCGGGCGTCATCGGTGAGATCTCAACGGTACATATGGACTGGATTCTGGATTGCGCACATGGATCTGATTTCATGCGACGATGGCATCGAAACAAAGACACCAGTGGTGGTATACAGATGCACAAGTCCATTCATCACTTCGACCTGGTACATTACTGGCTGAATACGGAACCCGAGATGGTCTACTGCGTCGGTAGCTTACGTTTCTACGGTAGAGAAAACGCTGAGCGACGTGGAGAGAAGAATCTAGGCGAACGCTATCTCAACAACGAGGCTGCGAAAGACGACCCGTTTGCCATTCATATCGATCAAAACGCCCAGCTGAAGAAACTATACCTCGAGGCTGAACATGAGGACGGCTACATCCGTGACCGCAACTGCTTCGCTGATGGTATCACTATTGAAGACAATCTCTCCATGATCATCAAGTACAAGAATAAAGCCGTCATGACATACAACACGTATGCCTATGCGCCATGGGAGGGGTACCGTTGCGTATTCAATGGTAGCAAAGGCCGCATTGAGATAAACGTCGTCGAGGGCGGGTACTCAGCGGGCGGTGAGACTGTCACCAACGAAGGGCTGGGTGAGCTTGAAGCAAACTACATCCAGGGTGGCGTGGAGAAGACGAATATTGTAGTGTATCCCTTGTGGGGACAGCCTTATGTCGTTGATGTTGTCAAGAGCGAAGGCGGCCACGGAGGAGGCGACCCTCTGCTTCTTCGAGATGTAATCGCTACCAGCGATGGTGAAGACAGCTTCAAACGAGCTGCGTACATTCGGGATGGCGGTAACGCTGTCCTTGTCGGTGTTGGTGCAAATCGCTCCATGGAGACTGGTATGCCTGTTCAAGTGCAGGATCTCGTCAAATGGTAGTTGAGCTCTTTCCTGGCCGAAATTTTGATGAAAAGAGATGGATTTGACTCCTAGTAAGCTGTCCGTAGTGCAATTGCAACTGTTGTCATAAGATTCTGATGACGGGTTGGTGTCTTGGTTTCCGATGGTAGATCCCAACGCCACAGCAAGCCACCAGAATCTTCGTAATATGCACTTCTCCTACAATAGAAATGAGTGCATATCACACTGCAGGATGTTGCGCGTCGTTTCGGCATCGCAAAATCTCGGGGTCCGGCAGTGGTTCGCGTGCGGCAGCATTGCGGAGACCCGAACGAGACAGCACTAAGCATTCACGACCAATCAGACACTTCCCGTCCGGACTGACAGCCTATCAGAAACCAGGAGGCTGGATGTCTCACCAAGTTAACGCGACACGCATCGCTGTTTGTGCTGGAAACTTACGTCAGACTTGTGAGTACTACACGCTCAATAGGGCAATTTCTGGGTGGATAATGATGATCCGGAGTATCGGGATGAGCGCAGGGTCCCCTGGCATCCAAGTAAAAAGAAGCCATCGCCGTGAAGCTTGAAACCCTGTCATTCAGTGTACGCATCTCAAGAACAACCTACGCAAGCTCCAAGCATCGAGGAGAGACAGTAACGAAGTTTCAAGACCTACCGAGAAAACACCGCCAATATGCGCAAATCCTCCCTCCGAAAGACGACTCTCCTCTCCCTTCTTGGTATCTCATCCGCGACAACACAGTCATGGGGTGAGCCTTTCGCCGTCAAACCCGCAGCGGAAACATCAACAGAGAACCTGCTCCCATCCGCGTCTCCAACCCCGTCATGGGGCGACGCCTTTACCGTCGACAACAGCGTCAGTACACCAACAAGCTCGCTCCCAACATCAATAGCTGGAGCACCGAGTCTGGCAGTCGATACAGCCTCACCTGTGCCTTCCAACACAGTGACCGAAGATGTTACAGTGATCACTGGGATCCAAAGTGCTGTTGGTTCGAGGACTGCGAGCTTTGATGCAAGTTCACAGAGTGTGACGGGAACGCGGAGTGGAGGAGGCAGTACAGAGAGCGCTACGGGTGCTTCAGGCCTTGTGGAGGCTACCGGTGCTGCGGTTCCAGTGAGAGGATTTAACAAGATGGGTTTTGCGGGGGCGATGGCTGGGGCTGCGGGAGTGCTATTTGTGTAAAGTGAAATGAAGAAGGGGAGACACTGTGAGGAGGGGTAATGTGCTCAGTGAGCGAACTTCTATGGATAGAAAGAGTGTTGGAAAGTCGACGCTAGCTGTTCAGATACAGACACTGGACTGAGAAAGAGCCACCTGAGTGAGAGAGCCGTAATACCCTGACGAGCAATGGGAGGTTGGTAGACGGTATTGCGTAAAGAAATAGAAAGATGTCAAATTACGGATACCATGCCATAGCACCAGCAATGTGGCTACATAGTTCTAGCTACAAGGATGAAAGGCTGACTGAATGAACTACAAAATCTTGGTGCTGTAGCGTAGTTCATTCAATTCAACTCGACTCTACCCGGCAATGTCGTGATCGTCGTTGCAGCAACGGTCCTGGTATCCTAATCAGGCTGGAGTCAACTTGTTAGGTGTATGCGAAGGTTAATGATATGTTGACAACCTAGTCATAACACCGAAGTACGGGCGAATGCAACAATGTCCGTTATCGAAAGCGAGGGAAGCGGCTACGTAAGCATTGAGGCATTTAATGATGCCCAACGTTAGACTGTCGCCTCCGCGTATTGCGCGGACTGAGAAACGGCGAAAGGCTTGCACGATCAAGAGTACTTTGAACGGTGAGCCTAAGCAAAGGCGAAGACTGACCATACTGTTCAAGGCTCGGCTTCAGCTGCGCTTCATTAGTTCCCAGCTCGCAACCGCTCTACCATCGATTCAAGCCTCTTTGACTAGCCTCTTGTTATTACAAACTAAATATATCTTTCAGCGCCACCGCATTGGCAAGAAGGCCCTTTGGAATTTTCGGTATGCAAGGTATCAATCCATCTCTTCTAAAGCTAATAGCACATCAGCCTCGGCCTGGCCACCACTACTCGGCGCTAGCGTGTGCAAGCCGTGGCAAGTCCTGGTTCGATCAAAACGCTGTTGACCGCGTGATACAGGACATTTGACGCGCAACACACGGTAGCAGGCAGTGCTACATGTCTACTCTCTTTTGGGTTGGTAGGCGGATGGCTTGCTTGGTAGGCTTGCGCAGTCCTTGTAGTTAGTGATGGTGGAACTCGGTGTACGCCGGCTGGTTAGAAACTAGCTGATGGTGGCGATGCGGGTGCTGCTGCTGTTCGCGTCCTTGGGGCTGTGTGCTTGTCAAGACGCAACAGAATGCTGAACCCTCCAAACGATATATGCGACGGAGAAGAGAGAATCGATGGGGGGTAGTTACGGTGTGGCAATGAGCAGCGGGTTCTTGCAGCTTGCTTGATGCATCTGTGGAGAGGTGGGGAACAATCCCGCTGTGGGGTCACCTGGTCAGTCAACCACAGTTTTCCTGGCGCGACGAACGACAAGATGCGATCTTCAACTCCGCGTTTCAGGTTCTTGACACGCGCCAAACGCGACGTCATGTTGCGCACACGCCAAAGAGTGATTGACCCCAGTACCTACTGTGTACTACCAGGCTGCTGTGATAGACATGCGGGGATAGCGCGCATGTAACGCATGATGACAGCCTCGTACCACGGTACCGTTGAGACATGATGGATGCGGTACCACGCGGATGATTGATTGTGACGTCTGTGCTACGATGATAGAGATCTTCCAAGCATTGCGGAAGTAACAAAAGAAGCAGGGAAGCGGGACGGATGTTTCACGGTAAGTGCGCATAGGTCGAAAGCACCTATGCTCGCACAAGCAAAACTACATCTGATACATCATGAGACAAGAGGCATGGTGTCATTGCGCGCATCACTTGCAAGATCATGGATGAGTAGGCAAATGCTTCCATATTATCATTTTCTGCTACGTCTATACAAGCTCTTTGCATAGCGTTCCCATCAGACACACCCATCACGGATGCCAATGCTCGCGTGACTCAAATTGACAATAGATGATAGAGGGGGTTCCCACAGATTCTAATGCTAACATGTCGTAAAAGGACAATTATAGTATAAGGTCGTGAAGGGAAACGCTTATGCGAAGTAGGCGAAAGCGGCGGCGGCACCGAGCATGGCAGCGACGGGGCTGCGGATGTTGGCACCAGAGTCAGTGACCTCAGGAAGGCTGGCGCTGCCAGTGGCAGAGCCGGAAGAAGAGCGGGTAAGAGTGGCAGAGGTGACAGTGGAGTTGACGCCAGCGGAGGGGCTAATAGTGGCGGAAGCAGAGGCAGCGCTGGTGATCATGCTGGACTTGGCGCTCTCAATGGCGCTGCTGAGGGCAGCAGAGGCGGAAGAAGCAGCAGATGCGGTAGCGGACGAAGCAGAGGCCATGGCGGAGGAGACGGCAGAGGAGACAGGGGAGTCATCCTCCTCAGCACCACCAGAGAGGGGGAACTGGGCGGAGTAGTTGATGGTGGTTCCCTGCTGGATCTGGAGAGCGTAGTCGGGCTCGTTGACGAGAGACTTGGTAGGGGTCCACTCGAACTTTCCACCGGTAGCGGAAGCTGGAGTTCAGTTAGAATTGGAAGATCATATTACTGTCAGGTTGGCAACATACTGGTAAGAGTGGCAACGGTGTCGAGGTCAGTGGACTGTCCCTGGCGGAGGATGAAGGTGGTGGGGGTGTCGTCCGCGGGGGAGTAGGTGATGGTGTAGGTCTGGCCAGCAACAACACCCTCAGCAGGGAAGTCGTTGATCTCGAGGGCAGCGACGGCGGCAGCGAAGGCCGCGGCGGAAAGGATGGTCTCGAAGAAGCGCATGGTGACGGTAGTTGGATTGGTGATTAGGGTATTAGAACTGTAGTAGCTGTATGGGTATATGTAGTTGGATAAAGAACGAGTGACTGTGTACAGCGATAGTGCGACGTGGGAGTGAAGAAGGAAAGACGACGGTGGGCGACGCGGTATAATAAAGAATACGCTGACACCCAACGGCTACCTGGACCGGATCGAGACGCCAAAGCAACGGCAGAAGACGCAAAATTGCCGGACGAAAGCAGTATAGCTCGCTCTGGAGCTAATGGATGAGGATGCTCATGCGCCCAATCGGCCGTTCGCCAGTGAGACGCTTGGCCAGGAGCCCCCTTTTCCCTCTGTTCGCACAGCCCTCGAGGCATCTCGCCTAGGATCAGAGCGAGCGTCTAGCCCAGGAGCCACTCACCGACGATGCATCCCGGCGCATGAGGAGCACACCAACGGCCGCCGTGCCACGATGCTAAGCTGTTTGGAGGTTAGAAGACAGCCACCCAATAATCCGGGGAAAATTCAGGGGCCTTGCTGCCATCCTGCTGCCGCATAACCGCGCAGGAACACGAGGTGTCGATGCAGACTACAAGAAGATGGTGACAGACCGTCGCTCGAGATTTGGATGTTGAGTAAAGTTGCCGGCGCAAACTACAGGCGTCGAAGCTGTACCTGCATTGGCGCCAAGGTCACCCCTGCTTACTCGGCCACCCCCGGCACCTGCCATCTTCTGTAACTTTGCTCGCCTAACATGTCAGCTCCACCACCACCTCATGCGAACGCCGGTCTCGCACATGACCTTAACCGCCGGGGGCGACGTCATCCTCTACCAGGGCGACTCCAATCGACGCCTTGATCTCCCCCTATCGATATGCGCCGACATGACTGCGATCTACGACCTTCCCTGGAAGACTTTGCCAGCCTAGGGGCGAGACTTGGTCGGTGCAACACCGGTGATGAGCCTACGGTTTTAGCACGGAGCCGATGGGTCTGCAGACGGCCCGAGATTTGGGCCCCACCCAAAGGAGATTTGACTGTGGGCTGGCCTTGACGAAAATGACCGGCAGCAAGATGCAAAGTTGGAGAATGAAGCGGTGACTATTGTTCAAAAGATCATATCGCACCTGGTAGATGCACATGCGCATCGCATATGTCAGAGCGGTATGTCGAGCAGGATCATGCCGTCTGCGAACATCTTAGCAGCATGCGCCTATTGCTTATGGTAAGCTGGATCATGTTATTATTGCATTCTTCCAAACAATCGCATGCACGCCCAGCATCGGCAACGTTGGGACCAAGGACGACAAGAAAGTCGCTGAACCCCAAATGACCGGCGTTAATTGTACGATGTCATATGTGTATGGATGTAGGGAGCATCCTGCAGGGCGTACATGTCGCTGACAGCAGCCTGAGGTATCGATCTCTCTCGATACAAGAAGTCAAACTGGATGAGCATGTCATAGAGACACGGAAGCCGCGCGCATGCTGAACAGGTCTGCAGCCTACATTAGGATAAGAACATGCAAAGTGGGTGACCTAACGTCAACGTAGGCTCCAGGGTGTTGAGTTGTTTCCTTGAATGGGGTTAACTCATCGTGCTGCAGGCTCCCCATTCATGTATTACAACTGCTTGTGCACCTGGAGTGCTGATGTCGGTGTGAAAGTTGGAGCATAAACCACAAGTCATGAGCAATGAAGACGTAGACAAATGCTCCATTTACTATGGAAGATCGTTGATGATCCTCATAACCCTCTTCAGATACGTGTGGTGCATCTGGCTTCACCGCATTTTTCGTGGAGGCCGCCCATACTGGAAAAAGCTGAACCCTCTGGAGCCTACATTGACACCAGATCTTTCAATCTGTTTGTTTTGTCATGATGTAGTCTGCAAACCAAAAACTTTTCCATGTCTCATTCCATCTGTCTGCTCAAAGCTGGATGCTTCAGGTGAAGATATCCTCCTCCCACTTCTTCTCTCTCTTGATGAACTCCTCAGCGTCATCGGGGAAGTCCTCTTCCATGGTGTCCTCCACCGTTTGAGCCTTCTTGCCACGGGACTTGGGAGTCGCCGTCTTCTTCTTAGACGGTGTAGTGTCCTCGGAGCCGGAAGACATGTCCTTTCTCTTCTTAGGGGTTGCCTTGGAGGTCGCTGGGGTAGTCTGACCTGTGCAGTGTTAGTTTTGTCAGAAGGCAGATACTAGTTGATGTCGCAAAACTTCAAGCACGTAGGTAAAGAACATACCACGCTTGCTACCAGGCGGAACCGGCTCGAACTCCTCGCCGGACTCGAGGCGCGCTTTGAGCTCTTTGGCCTTGGCGAGTACGGAACGGAAATCATGCTGAAATCCGCTTGCAGTCTTGACACCGTCGAGCGCGCTCATCATCTCATAGTTCTTGTTGGACAGGCTGGTGGTGCCAGTGCTGCAGAGGACAGCGGCGACGACATCGGCAGTGAAGACCTTGCCGGCCTTTTCCGCGGCGGCCTTGGGAGGCATGTTGATGATGGTGTAGTGTAAGGGAATGTTGTGATGTGGCTTGAAGAGATGATGCTGGAGAGCGATGGTCGTCTGCGAGGTAGGAAGATTGAACTCGAAGTGCGGTGTCAAGAGAAAAGAGTAGAAAGCCTGAGGACAAGCTGAAATAGGCAGGCGCCTTACTACTGCGCTGGCGTAGTGAGAGAAGTCGCTGTTTAAGCAAAGCGGTGGTGACGGTGAGAGCTCGTGGGGCTTTGGACAGGTTCACCACTCACCTTCACCTAGACAAAGTAAGCCCATACCCAACTAAAAGCTGGCGAAAGACCGCGCTTTCCTAGGCCACGCAAAAGTAGGATAATGCAGCCTACCTCCATGCTAGTCATTCGGGCGACTGTCCATATCGGGGTGAGCATGTGAGAAAATCTGGTGCACTCCAGGTCTCGAGCAATGAATGCAGATTACGGTCATTGTTTGGTGAACACTCTACAAGTCGTTCAGTGTCATAACACCACACTCTGGACCACCTGTTCAACCACTGAAGTTTTCATGTCGACCTCATAACACACTGTGAGCCACCTCTTCGATCACTGAAAGTTGCACGTAGATTCAAACAACGAACGTATCCCGCATCTCGCACGTCAGCTGCCCATGATCTTTCTATTCGCATCTTCACTAATCATAATCGCCCATCCAAGGCTCGATGCCGATCCATCTACTATCCTCTCGCTCCTGCTGCTTCTGCATCTGCTTGAGCCGCTCCATCTGCAACCCCGAAACAAAATGTAGGCCTCCTTGTGTCGGACCAGCGCGAAGGTTCTCGCATTCAAAGCACTCACAACATTCTGGCATGAAGAACATAGTTCCGTGACCGCACCTCTTCACCTTGTCGAAGTACCGCTCCAGAGCCTGATCAGGAGTTTCGTCCCTAGGGCAGTTTGGTGTACGAACGGCTGCGTCATACACGTCTTTCAGAGAGTACACATTGCTCCAGTATTGCTTGCTGTACATTACGTAGTTGGACTCTCTTTTCACCCCGGCGGTCTTGAGCTGATTCTCTCTCATGTGGAAAAGCCCCGCGATATCCCCTCCAGAGATCGTTATGTTCTTTCCTTGAGTATCTTTGAATCGGGAGGTTTCCGTCTCAGAAGCTGCACTGTCCCTCCTTGAAGTGGGTTTTGTCGGCGTTTTCACCGGTTCGGTGCTGGATACGTGCTCTTTCCAATGTAATAAGCCCTTCTTCACAATATGCTCCCCATCAAGGTCCTTGCATGCCTTTGGTGTTCTGAGCATCCAATTAAGGTAGCCCTCATTGCGGCCTTCTTCATGGACCTGCTTCAAGGTCTTGCCCCTGTGCTTTCCCGTCTTAAGGATGTAGTGTGTATATGGGTCGTTCACCACTCGATTGCGGTACTCCTCGTCGGCTTCGTTGTCGAGGGTCTCGTTGGCAGGAACGAAGCTGTTCTTGTTTGGGTTTGACGAATTGCCCCACGCCTTCTTCGGTGTCCGGTAGGGTGGCATCTTCGGTCGCGCAATACAGCGGGTACGATACGGGGGCTAATGCAGAAGCGGCAGCGGTGGGGCTGTGGCCGTGCCAGGAAGAGTAGCCTGACTATGTCATCGCATCGGCTTTCCACAAATCTACACGAATGGTAGTGTACTTACTGCTGCGACTGTATGTCAATGAATTGAATGAAAGCGGTCGAGTCGAAGACGGTTACGGAGTTTATGATCGTTGAGTCTGTGACGCGACCGCGGGAATGCGGAACCGTGCCGCCGCGCGAAACCCTGGCTGTGACGTACCCCTGGTTCATCACCAATGCTGCAATTGGACACTCGACAGCTGTATACATCAAATTGCTTGTGAGATCGACAAGAATGCTATGTGTAGTTTCTTTGTTTCGCATCATGCCTACAGCTTGGATACGTCTGGCTAATCAGCGACGTGTCTCTCTGATCACGAAGCATCTTTCCGATCCATAGGAAATGCGAAGGTCAGCAGCCATCACCGTAACAATCGAGAAGCGGAAGGCATATCGCGACGTTCGTCAGAGGCATAAACGATGGATTCTTACACTCGATAAGAGATCGAGATCCTAGATATACGTTCTTAACAAAACGCTAAGTGCACCCCATTTGAGGGAAACGGTATACACCTAGCTCTGCGAAGTGCAATTATCTTAAAGGAAGCTTAGAAGGCTACAATGCCTTAACCAATCTACAAACTCGAGTTTTTATAGCAATGTAGACTTTGGAGGACCTGTTAATATTTCCTTTTGAATGGGGTGAATGCGAGCTTTCTTCGATCATGCCATTTACCACCACCTGGGCAGTGTTTAGGCGCACGGTCATCGAATTCGGAACGTGTGCATGTCGCAATGCTCGACCCTTAACCTATATTCATGTAAAACGAGACGTTAAATCCAAAGCAATATGTGTAGATGCAATGTTCTCGTGTTGGAAGTGTGTTGAGAAGGTGAGGGGTAGGAGCATGGGCAGCTCGTTGGCCTTGGCCTAATCGAGCTAGTTAGTCGCGAAACTCACGTTTTCACGCGAGCCCTGGAGATAACCGCTGATTTGAGACAACATGACGTCGCACGCTACGCGTCTGAACCCTTTGACTTGAACCCCATCATTCTAACGACACCAACTAAATATCTATCTACTACCTCGCGTCATGTCAGGCGAACCGAAGTCTTCCGTGGCAGCACCGGCACCTTATTACATTTCGAAGTCGGCTATCTGTACCAACAGCAAAGGCGATAGCATTGGTAATGGTCTTTTTGCTAACCGAAGGTTTGGTTCGGGCGAAGAGATTGCAAGCTTCACGAGGCCTCTTGTTGCTTCATTGGAGACGGAACGGCTGCTCGATACCTGTGCGAATTGCTACCTCTGGACTGAAGGTTCATCGACTGGAACAAGGTTGTATGTACCGGAAGGCGCAAAAGTGAACAAGTGTGCTGCATGCCAGATATTCCGCTACTGCAGCAAGGTACGTCGAGTTATCTGCGGGTATGTTCGTAAACTAACATGCATCAGGCATGCCAAAAGGACGCATGGAATCGGGGACATAAGCATGAGTGCAAGATGCTGAAGCCAACGGCTGGTAGACCTCTCCCCAAAGCCTTACTTGCATGTATGGAACTATTCATTAGGCGAAAGCATGGTTTGATTTCCGATGAAGAATGGGAGCTGCTTTGTCGCTTACCTTCGCACATTGACGACTTCAAGCGGAACGGAACCTACGAGAATATCGAACTCATGGCTATGGGTGTCGGTCAGTTCTCGTCGTTGCAAAACCTCTTCGACAAGGACTTTGTTGCAGCGATGTATGGTCGAGTAAGTCTGTGATGGACTCTTCTAACTCTCTCACTGACATGTATAAAGGTAATGTCAAATGCTCTGACACTGATCACACCTACGTTAGATCCTCTAGGTATCATGATCGACCCTACACTCTGCCATATGAATCACTCCTGTAACCCGAACGCATACATCATGATGGATGGTCCGCGAGTAAGCATTCGTACACTCCGACCCATCAAGAAAGACAAAGAAATCTACATTTCGTACATTGATGCTACGAATCCCTACCACAGGCGACAAGAAGAGCTCCAATCCCGCTGGTTCTTTACCTGCCGCTGCGCCCAATGTCAGGAAAAGGCGACTCTCCAGGAAGACAACTGGCTGGTACCATCAAGGCCTGGATGGGTCTTGGGAGCCGAAGTTGCGTCCATGGCAGAAACTCAGGAGAAGCTGTTTGGTCTCTATGCGGAACTCCAAGCAACAGAAAGCCCCCTGCTTGTTAGAGCAGCGATCAGGCAAGCACTCAAGATTTGCCATGAGGCAATGTTTCTGCCGATTTATCGACAACCATATGCTGCACTCCGCGACGACTTGATTGTGAACTTGCTTTCCGAGGGACGTTACCAGGACGCATGGGCGCAATGTGCAAAGCGGTACAAGTACATCCTTCCCAAGCTCTACCCAGTCTCGTTCCACCCGGTCCGGGTAGTACAAACATGGCAAATGGCGATGTTGGCCGCATACCTAGCAAGTACTCCAGAGGGTGTAGGTGCACCAGAGGTGAATATGGGTCTCATTGCCATGATGCTGGTAAAGCAGGTGTTGAATGTAGCGCACTTGAGCCATGGGCCGGCTAGTGCATTCACAAAGAGTGTGAAGGCCAAAGCGGAAGAGATGACAGAAGAGCTCAAGAGGAGTCTTGGGAACGCAAACAGTGATGTCATGAACAGGGAGCTTGAGGTTCAGAGAGACAGGCTGATGGAGATGGGGCATTGGGCTCAGGACGGCCAGATAGAGGAACGGGCAAAGATTCTAACACTGCACGAGAAAGCCTTCAGTGTATGAGGTGGAAACAATTGGTCAAGAGACCAGAGCTGTCCCCAGTGTTTGGTATTCGTTACTGAATAGTCTGCGAAAATAAACTATTGCCGACATGCAATCTCCCATTCACCATAGTTCATTGCTTCCTTATTTTAGATGATGGAACAGCACTGACTGGGCCAAACCTTCTCGACACTCTCCAAAGGCTTGCAACACGACTGTATAAGAAGTATTTACTTGGTAAAAAACCGTATCCTAAATCATGAAATTGATATCGGTCATTTTGACTCGAGTGAAGATTTGCCAAATGACGTGGTAGTGCGGGAAAGACGAACTCATCATAACACCAACCGCCGCGCCGAAACAGTTAGTATACAGGCCCATAGCCGCACAGCGCGTTCGTATACGTGCTGCAGGCAAAGCATATAAAAGATCGCATGATGTTACTTTCTCTTAATCTTTATCAACGCCACAATTGCTTATAATTCGAAAACTCCAGACCTCGAGTTCATGGCTCGTTTGTCGTTCTTCGTTCTTCAAAAAGTGTCTACAGGAGTTCTATGTGCTGCTTGACGTCTCAGAGTACATTCATATAAACGACCGGGTTATCCAAAATGAAACCCATAGTGCAAATATCGATGGAAATATGCCACCGTCAAAACTGCGCATCAATATGACATGTTCAGATCGTTGACGGTAACGTCCATATTACTAGCATCACCGGCATCATCTCGCGCATGCTATCTCCCATGTGTACAAATATACATTCCGAAGCTCTTCCTCTCTTCAGCGAGCACATGAATAAGAAAGTAACAAAAACGATGTACAATATATTGATGTTGCCTGTGTGTCAGCAGCGCGCTCCGAAAGTAAAACACGCTACCCGCATGTCTCTGATGGTTCACCATCAGCTTTGCTCTATATCCTCCTGTGGTCTCTCCAATGCCAAAACATCTACCCAAAAAGATATGGCTCAAGTATATGTTCGGCGGCTGTAAGAGCAAGTGGAAGAAACGTAAAAAAACGAACAGAACTTTTCATGTGGAGCATGTTGAGTGGCGTCGTATCAAAATTGATCTGGACCAATGCCATGGTGCGTTCTGCTCTGGCAGTCGGTTTTATCGGTGCACCATCGACCGCGTCTATAAACAGTGAATTACAGCCTCATAAGGATCCTTCCCCGACGCTCATATTTCTGAAACTCAAATTGCTACCAACGCAATCCATGTCCAGGACTGGGCTCTTTCATGTGCCATGCTCTGCGCCGCAGCTTCCGCTTCCAAATATCGAAGCTCGCGCTTACTTCGGCCATGAAAACCTGTTCAAAGTTTACAGCAACGTATTGCTATCCCCCTTCAAAGCTCAACCTGATCCAAGCATGGGCAGTCGCTTACCCTTCCGAAAACACATATAGCATTTGATCGTGGGTATCCTAGGAATACGGGGTGTGGACGCGTCTGCCCTGTCGATCAAGCTAGCGACACAAGGGAGTACCATGCTGCGCCATGTGATGATCTGGAGAAAGCTAACTCTAGCGGGAGTGTGTCGGCAATCATCACGACATTCATAGGTCAACCAAAAAAGGGCCTTTGAGCGGAGCCGCCGGTGCTAGATACTCGAGCGTGTCCGCCAAAAGAGTTTACTTCTGATGCAAGCGCACCTTGCGACAGCCAGCGTCAAACTATTGGTATGGTGTTTCGATGGCTCGTGTGATCTGGTTTTGGATTGACTTGCTCGGCGAGCAGATCGAGTTGATCGACTAGATGACGTGTGAGCTGGATTGGAACAAGTGTCCGCTGGGCGAATCACATTAAGCCTGTCAAATAGAGTGGTAAGAGGGCGTGCTCGTTCCGATACTGCAAGGGAGTGGATTATGGCGTTAAGGTTTCGACGGGCTTGTCGATCGGCAAACAGTCACGCTAGACCAGGGCTGAAGAACCACGGCAGAAGCAATATAGGGTTCGAAAAGGTGGACTAGTGAGATTGGGGCTTGCATGAGATACGTGCGATGGACGCAAAACGTGCCACTATAGTAAGCCCTATGGTGTGATTATGTAGTGCCTTGCGTCAAACCTTCGAATCCACGCGCGATTCGCGCCATGTTTCCCCACAGCTCCATGGGATCGGATTCGTAACGAGGCGCAGCCATATGTAAGAGTGAATTAATTATTACGTTACCTGAGAGAGTGATGCGTGATGATGTAGCCATTAGAGAGCAGATTGGTAAGATTCGTGAAATGGGTATCTATGTTGGAGAAACTGGCGTTCAGAAATGCCGCCGTACAAGAATGTCGCCGAAGCGGGGGTATGCTGGATATCGCTAATCGCAAAAGTTTGTACACAAGTTGGCGTATCAGGAGCCGAGTGTTTTTGTAGCACCGGTCGGTGATCGCTCAGGTTCGCACGAAGCTACCCACTGGGAGTCAGTCAATGCGCGAGCTTTGCCCGCAAAGCCTATCCTCTCGACACCGCCTTCCCAAACATTGACAACCGACTTTTCTTGGGCTTACCTGCTGCCCCTCGCTGCTCCTCCCATGGTGAGACATCATTGATCTGAAGTCGCCTACCAAGACCTAGACGTTCACGTGGAGACTCATACCAATGCTTGGAGAGCTCGGATGGCGCAATAGTAGATGGAGCAATGGAATACGAATCGTCATCGTCGTCGTCATCGCGATCCTCTCGAAGATCATCAGTGCTGGCTAGCGACGCTTCGTACAAAGTTGGTAGCGCTGGAGCTGATGGTGTCCTCCTATAGTGCGGCATGTGTGCAGACCGCTGAACTGGCGGTGGGCCCTTCGTTGCCATTGGCCGACTGAAGTTCTGGACCGGTCGCTGAGGGGCATAATGTGGGATAGACGATGCATCCAAGGGCGACTCGTAGATGGCGAGCGGTTCGCTTTGTCGGCGCTCTACAACAGGTTGGGGTTGGAAGAGGAAGTCATGTGAGTCGGGCACATCGCCAAAATTGTTTTCAGCAGGCGCCTGAACAGCATGAGCATCCGTTCCCCATGCTCCTTGGTTGGGCCGGTCGTTCAATTTTCGGAAGATAGTATCTGCAGTGTCCATGACGATCGTATCTGCGGATGTCGTCGAAGAGGCTGGAGAATGTGGTCGCGAGTCTACTGATCCGTCTATGCTTGGGCGATCGCTCGAAGTGGAGTTCGAGAGCCGAACTGGTGACTGCGTGGTAGAATCATAGGATGCGCCAGCGCTCTCTGATCTGGGAGGTAACGCGCCAGACGCAGCGGGGTCATCCGGGAAATAGTAGGACATCTCCGGGAGCGTGGTAGTTGATGGCGAGGATCCGAGGCCAGAAGCTCCATCTCGGATAGTGAGGTTTGATATGGAGGCAGATGCGACAGAGTTGGGTGGGTTACGGGTGCCGTCTGTCATGACAGAGAATCTCGACTCGTTCCAGGGGGTGTTTTTAAGAGGCGAGCCAAAGGAGCCCTTGGACGATACGCTGATTCTGTTGTCCTTGCTGTATGCGCTTGTTGTTGAGTACCGGGTTTTGACGGATTCAGGAACACCGTCCCATTTTGAATTGACCTTGGGGACAGAATTTGGAAGTTTTTGGCCGACATAGTTGCTGCTGGCTCTTGACTGCGGCGTAGAGGTTCCGGAGTTGAGGTTCTGCTTGCGCTGCTGCTCTTTGAACTGCTCCAAAGCGACTTGAGACGGTTCCTTTAAAGAGAGAAAACCGAGCACGGAGCCCTTTTTCTTCTTCTTCGATGACTTTGAGCCATTTGACGAAGAGTTGCTGGAGGATATGGAAGCCAGACTGGATGACGTCAGGGAGGTAGTGTCGAAGGACGGACGGGAGATGTTCGAAGGAGCGTTTGGATCCGGGGTCGCGGGCGGCTCTTGACTATAAGCAGAGTCGGGCCCAGAGTCCTGGGAAGCAGAGTCGGCGATGGAAAGGCTGTCGGACGGAAGCGGATTTCTGTACTTCAGCTTGGGCATGCGCGCCAGCGGGGACTGTGCTGTTAAGTCTGCATTCGGAGCCATGGCTAACGAAAGTGATTTCGGTCGGGTGGGCCCTTAGGGTTTAGCGGCCAGTCAGTGCCAGTTTGATCGTCGTTTGATTGGCAGGCCGTCGCTAAGGCGTAGCGCATGTCATGCAGGTGCAGGTAGCGGACAGTAGTCGAGGGTCGAGAAGTGAGGAATTTGAGTGGCATTTGGAAGGATGATATGGAGGTGGAGAGGTGAGGGTCGAGGACGGGACGGCAGATGAGGGAAATGGGCGTGTCTGTACCGAGCTGGAGAGTCTGCAAGTAGAAGGCGCAATTGAGGGCTCCAAGGCTAGCAAAAAGCAAGAGCGACTCACCGTGGAGGACGCAGGCTGGGACGGGTACGCTACGCTTCAAGAGACGTGATTCTGATGGCTATCCACGCGGCACCGCCTATCAGAGTATTGCTATTGGCGGGCTGGGCATGGCGTTTTGGTGGATTACTTGGGTGGCTTCTCGCTCTGGCGCTGACCCTTGCAGGCGTTCGGCTGCGTAAGACTCTCATCTGCGAGGATGTCGCCGGACTAGACGGACGCGTTTTGCGACATGCAAATTGGCAATCAGAGGGCAGATCTTGAACGCCGTTATGTCGGTTGTGAGATGGCAGTTGCTTCAGAGGAGTGCACTGACACTGCCTCGTGCCGATGCCGTCTTTAGCCCTTACTTTGTCTCTCCTATATCCCTCAAGGAACTTGCCATTCTGTTCGACCAGACCGCATGGAGGTCGGATAGACATGACGAGATTCAGACGTCGGGAATAGCGGCGCGTCACGCAATCGCTGTCTGAGAATGCCACGCACGGCTACAAGCAAGTGCAACCGAGGTCAGTGTGCAACTGGCATCGTGATGGTGTACACGGAGTACTCGGAGCGCGGATTACCATGTTCGGACACTCCTTTCTGGTCACCGCTGGGTAGGAGTATGATCAGAGGTGTAAGCCCTTCCAATTACCACAGACGATCATGTGACACTCTTACTCGAATACGAGAGACCAGGCTCAAGATGTCTTCT